AGCAGTGACATGCAGCTCGGTACTGGAGAACGTGCCAGAGGAGAACAGGATCCCACCCAGCTGTGCAGGTCCATCTCCTCCCTCCCCAGGGCAGCCCTGAGCAGTGGCAGTGCTGCCCCAGCCCTCACCTTCTCTCCTCATGGTGGCCGAGTCGATCTTGCCCTGCAGGAGGTAGAGGCTGCCCGAGGAGGTCCTCAGCTGGTTGTGGGCCACGCGCTCGGTGACGGCGTTGCTGTGCCACAGCAGGCCCTTCATGTCCCTGGGGAGAGACAGAGCCTGAGCAACGGGAACACAACCTTTTATTTGTATAAAAGAAGGGGGTTCAACCTGGAGCTCTGCTGTTCTGCAGGGGAGTGGCAGTGATGCACATTTGCTGAGGGATGTGGGTGCTGGCAGGACGTGCTCTGTGCTGCTTTCCTTCCCTAGCCTGGAACAGGAACGGCTCTGGCCTTGTCTGGCCACCTCTTGCCCACACAGAGGAATTGGTCTGCACCATCCCTGGGTGGTGGGTGCCCCAGGCTGTGCCTGTTTTACACTAAACTTCAATCACAAAACTGGGTCTTACTGCCGTTTGCCCTCCAGAGAAATTGCCGTGTTGCCTTCCATCACTCTAATCCTCCAGCTGCTCAGGCAGATGCTTTTCTGTTACAGAAAAAAAAGAAAATAAAGCACTTAAAATTGTATTTATTAGCCAGCACCTCCTCAGTGCTCAGATCCAGTAACAACATCCCTTCTCCTTGTCTACAAATCTTGACTGTTAAAGGGCATCTGATCCTTATCTCAGCCAAAGCTCACCACAAAGGTGAATTGTTTTTTTTAATACAGGAAACACATCAAACACACTTGGCCACGTGGGAGAACAAAACAAGTCACTTGCTTAATTTGAAGGGACTGCAATCCCAGATTTCTGCAGAGAACAAGGGAAACTCAAGCCTTGGGCAGGTGTGCTTGTGCCAGGCTTCCAGGGGATCACAGGGATGCAGTGTGCTTCCAGATACACTGCCTTCCATACAGAAAGGTGGGAATACTAACGCTGCAGACTGCTCTCCTAGGAAAAGATTCTAGTCCCACTTGATTCAAAAGGAGTCCAGATGTTCTGTAGGAAAGCCAAGCCTTTCACCTCCTCATCAGCTGGGCAGATTCATGGATTCATCCCTAGCCTAGAGCTGGGAAAGGTCTCTCCTCCTTGGATTTGACTGGGCAGCCAAGAGCTGGAACCAACACATGGGACCCTTTCAGCCCACCCTGTGGCTTGTGCACAATAAACCAAAAAGGCCTCTTTTACACAAAAAAAAACCCCAAAACCTGAACATTTGTCATCTTGGAGTAGGGTAAAAAAGCAATCTTTTTGATGGGAAAATTTACCAGTAAAATCTAATGAAAAAGTGGTTTGTTCTCTTCTGAGTGCTCCTTACTTTTGACAAGAAAAACCACAACTATGAGCTACACACAGCCCAGAGGAACCTCTGTTTTCCCTAAAGGATTAATTTCTCCCACCTCTTTGTCTGCTTTGCTAGCAGGTTGGTCGGTATGAGGCTTGTCCAAAGGGTCCTGAGGCTTTTCTGTCAGCTTCTGCTTCTTTGGAATGTGGACTGTGGGACTAGACAGCATAATGCTGCAGAAGCACTGGGAGGGCTTTGGGGAATTACTCTCCAGGGTCTTTTCCACTCCCAGAGCAGCTTGTTTTTTACTGGGCTGCAACTCTCTTCTGTCTTGATGAAGCTCTGGATGTTTTGCTCCTTCATTTCCCCACTTTTCTGTTACCTGATCCTCGTTTCTCAAAGGGGTGGAATTCACATTCAGAAAGCTAGTCACTGTACTCTGAGACATTTCACCATCAGCATCTATTGGTTCCACCAGGAAAACGTCCACATCATCCTCCCTGTCGGTGTCCACTTCCTCGGGAGGCTCATCCCTGGGCTGCTCAGCACAGGCAGCTCTGACTAAAGGCTTCTCCGGGGCTGTGGAAGGAGGAATGTTCTGCTGGATGGGGTTTGAAGGTGCTGGATCTGCACATTAGAAAAAACAAAAGGTGGAACAAAGAAGTTAGTGATATTTAAGCATTGGAACGGGCTCGTGGTGGAGTCCTTGGGGACGTGGGGCAGTGGTGGCCTTGGGGTGGTTGGACTCGATGGGGCTTTTCCAGCCTTACCAATGCCTTGGTTCTGTGACCCGAGGAAGGCTGTGAAGTGTTTCCCAGGGCAATCCCAAGTACCTTTGTGCTGCTGCTGCTGCAGTTTCCCCTTTATGCGCAGGAAGAACTTCTGGGGGGTCTCCAGCACAGGGGGCTCTGCGACGGGAGGGGCCTGAGGGACCCTCGGGAACACGGATCCTGCAAAGCAACCACAGGGAAAACCTCCGTGATCGGGGAAACAGAAACATTCCCGGGGGAATGTGGTTTGTTGATACGCTTATTAAAATACCCCACGAAATCCCAGAACTGTTTGGGTTGGAAGGGACCTTGAAGCCCATCCAGTGCCACCCCTGCCATGGGCAGGGACACCTTCCACCAGCCCAGGTTGCTCCAACCTGGCCTTGGACACTTCCAGGGATCCAGGGGCAGCCACAGCTTCTCTGGGAATTCTATTCCAGGGCCTCCCCACCCTCATTATAAAAAGGGTCACACTCAGCTCCATGTCACCTGCAAACTCCCTGAGGGTGCCCTGGATCTCACTGTGCCTGTAATGAAAAAACTAAAGGTGCACTGGAAAAGCCATCAGGGAAATACCCCAGTGGGATTTCACACCCAAACCTCCCTCCCTTATGTACCGGCTGTAGGAGCAGTTAAAGCAACTGTTTAGTTTGATTTTTAGCCACCAAGTGGCTTTGAAGGTGTTGCAGTGGATCAATCCCACTCACAGACACAAGGCAGGGAGCAGTTAGAGCCAGACTAGGGCAAAGGGAGAGAGAACACGACAGGAGGGAATCCTCTCTGCTCAGGAGCAGGGAAATCAGCTGTGCCACAGACACCCTCCAGCACTAAAAATCCCACCATTCCAACCTTCCTGTTTAACCCCAGCCATCAGGGGGACAACAAGTGCTGGTTGCCAATGTCTTCTACACCCACTGGGACCTTTTGCAGACCCTGGATGAGCCACGAGCAGGACACACAGGGACAATGTTCACACCTGGGACAGCTCTCCTGGAGAACCCGTGGAACATCCATTGTTTCCCAGGTGTGACCAGGCCCTGTTCTGCTGCTCCCTGGTTCATGGAGCTTCACAGGGTTTGTCCTCTCCATGGCCCTTCCAAGGAGGAAGGATTCAGACTAATTAGCAAAGCATTAAGAGTTCTTCCCTGTGAACAGCTGACCCCAGTGTGTTCCACAATAACCAAAACTCTTCTGGAAAAGGAACTATTAATAATTCCTGTCATTCAGGCTATGGATTGATGTAAGCCAATAATTAAAAGACTTATGAAAATGTGACAACCAGGAATGTCCCTGCAGCACAAGTGAACTGAACTCAGAATTACAGCTCTGTACCTTCTAGTCCAAGTGTTTTGAAGGAAAACAAACCATTCTCTGGGAGTCACTGAGAGCCCGTGGCACTTACCATGTCCTGGCCGGGCGGTGCCCCGGCCCTGCCCGGTGCCGGGGGTCAGGATCACATCAGTGGCACGGCTGTGCCCGGTGCTGCGGGTAAGGATCCTGCTAGTGTTGGTGCCCTGGCTCTGCCCAGTGCCGGGGGTCAGGATCCCGTCGGTGGCACAGCTCTGCCCGGTGCCGCGGGTCAGGATCCTGTTGGTGTTGGTGCCCTGGCTCTGCCCGGTGCCGCGGGTCAGGATCCCGTCGGTGCCCTGGCTCTGCCCGCTGCCGCGGGTCAGGATCCCTTCGGTGGCACAGCTCCGTCCGGTGCCGGGGGTCAGGATTACGTCGGTGGTGCCGCGGCCCTGCCCGGTGCCGCGGGTCAGGATCCCTTCGGTGCCCTGGCCCTGCCCAGTGCTGGGGGTCAGGATCTCATCGGTGGCACGGCTGTGCTCGGTGCTGCGGGTCAGGATCCTGTTGGT